CTTGTGAGCATTGAACATGCGGAGTCGACTTTGCTGCCTGCTCAAATATCCCGCGGTTGACTCGGGGGAAACGATTGTGTTATGACTTCCGAAAATGAGTCGTAACGCGCGGTTCAAGGGCGGAAGGGTCGCCCAGCGTTTTGGTTATGACTTCGGTGTTTACCTGTAGTAAGTTGTATGCCTGGTTGTAGTTTCCGCAACGCGCAGTTATAATCTAGCCTCGAGGGCTGTGGTTGCAGTAAGGTTGCAAGTTTTAAGCTTGTAAGAGGAGTGTAGTTGCAGTAGAGTAGCAAGTTGCAAGCCTCTAAGAAGGGCAATTAAAGTAGTAAGTTTGAGGGCTCTAGGAAGGCTGTCGCCTTTAACAGGACACGTCGGCAAACCAACACATGGCAAGTTTCAGGGCAACATTTTATCATACTTTTCCCTTAAATGTAGGGTCTGTTGGGAACAGCATAAAACAGCCGAAATCTTGGATTTCCGGAAAAAGTCCGTAAAATATATCGGTCTTACTAATCAAGAGCGCGGAGTAGTGCCAAGTTTGTGACAAGTTGCCTGAATTTGTCCGAAGGTACAGTATGTTCCTTTGCGACGTTCCGCAGCGTCCTCTTCATATGGAGCCAGGACTGGAGGGCCACATCATCTACACCACTCATGAGTACGACTGGTACAAGAATTCGATCCAGACCTTGCGTCCTGGCTGTGACCCAATGTCATAACTGCATCATCTCCCGGATTCTGACAGTCGGTGTCAGGTACGAGAGTGGAGAGATCCTTTGTGGCTTCTTCGCGACTTACGGTGCTTTGCTGTTGGTTGTCTCTCTGGCTACGGTTTTGTTCTCAGCGGCTTGCGAGGCCGGAGGAGCAAGCTCTAAGTCTGGGATTTCTTAGGGCCCGCAAGCCCTGTGATAGGTGGCCATCGTGCCGCGCAGACGCCTGTGCTGCTGGCCGAAACTGCGTGGCCTCTACTTCGAGGTGGGCCAGAGCAAGAGCTGTGGATTCGGAGAGTTCCATCTCTGGGGGTCAGGTCGCTTCGGCCATGCTCTTCGTGGCTGCTTTCCTCGTCAGCCTGCTGCTGCTGGCCCGGGCGGTCATGGACCCCTGCCAGGTGCAGGGACGAGCCACACTCGAAGTCACAAGAGAGAGTCTGAACCCTGCAGTCTGGTGAACTTCATGTGGTTTCCTTCCCGACGTTGGTCATCCTGCCACTCTGGCTGCTGGGGCTCCTGTTCTCCGGACGCCTATCATGCTTGCTCCTTCGGACATTCAGGCAAAGTTTTGTGTCTCAGCGTGACTCGGAGTTCGGAGTCTGACTGCCAATTTGTACGAGACTGTCGCAGGCCGGTCTCCGCAATAGCGATGGACGAGGAGAAACCGAGCCCCGTGTCTCCGGACCGCGCTGCCCAGTCTGCACTAGTTAAGATGGATCGCTATCGGTCCGGTTTTTCCCGTTAAGCGTGCGGCTTCCTGCCGCGTTTTACTTCGAACCTGAAGTAGGCAATCGTGGGTGAAGGTTGGTGGCATGGACGTTGGCATTGAGATGTCCGAACTGAACCTGAACCGTGCGGAAGGCCGAGCAAACGCCTGCCTCGCCTCATCCCGGCTCGATGTGCTCAGCACACGTGGGTCGAGTGTCAACCCCGTCGAGACTGGCTGCATTTGACAGGCGCCACGCCTCAAAACCCGAACATCATGACCGATCAAGGCTCAGTGGCATGGGCCGCTTTGAGGGTTTAAGCCTTTAAGGTTTAGGGTTTCCGGTTGGACCTTGCCTGAACAGACGTCGACAGGCAAGGAGCACCTCCAGTATGCGCTTAATCACAAGCGAGCGCCTTGGCAGTTTTGGGCAATGTCCCTCTTCCGAGGTTGTGTGTGTTTGAAGAGTGCTCCATGAACCCCATGAGTCCACGAGCTTGATATTATCACAAGGGGGCGTGGACCCGTTTCACCAAGCTTGTCTCGCTGTCTCTGGGTGGCGGTTTCTGCGAGATTCGGACGGGGTGCACGCAAGGTCTTGTGCTGTACCGTTGAATGCCCCATGCTAGTAGAAGGGATGGTGCCGCTGTGGCAAGTCTGTCGATCGTGATGGCACTGTGCAACTCAGCTGGAACCAGCAAGTCTCGCTGTGAAGGCCAGCGTGATCGTTCTGGCAATGCTTTTCCTAATCTGTGCCAATGCGGCCGCGCTGCTATTCCTACAATCCTACGAGGCCGGTGGGATTACGAGGGTGGCTCACATTTTGCTACATTCAGCTGCAGCTGTCGTTCATGAGCGCAGCTGTACAAGGCATGGCAACAGTCCATTGATGATCGTTGGGGTTTCCTTCTACAGCCCGAGCACCTGGGTGATGAAGTGGTCAGCACTTTCCAATCACAACTGCCCTGCTGTGCTGTGGACGACCAGCCAAGGCCAAATGCAGAAGGCGCTGCTGTTGCAGCGGTATGGCTTGGAGAGTTTGGGACGGTGCGTGTCTCAAGACAGCGGCCAGCAAACACAGTAGTGATTCCCAGGAAATGACGCGCCACAGTGACACAGTGTCTAGGTCAGGCCCCCCGCCCATCCCACCTCTGCCCCATCCCTTCGTGTCGTGTTCCAGTCATGGTCCCTGCACGAGCAGCTTGCTGCAGCATTGGTTTTCAAGCCAGGTCATCGGCATCACTAGTTGTACTCACCAGCATCGCCAGCAGCACAAGCAGCAGCACAAGCAGCAGCACCAGCCCCAACCCCAGCCCCAGCCCCAGCCCCAG